TGAATCTAAACAATAGCATATTGACAAAACATATATTCCAAAGCCAGAGATACTTGTATAAGGAAGAAATTACATAGAATGGAGTAGTTTTATAAATTAGAGAGGTGAAGTGTTAAATTGTTGGATCAGGAATGAGGAAGAACCAGATTTGGTTCTTCTTTTGGGCCCAGACCAGGGGTAGGCAACCTTGGCTCTTTTATGACTCGTGGACTTCAACTCCCAGAATTCCTGAGTTGAAATCCATGAGTCATAAAAGAGAGAAGACGGTGCCTGGGTGATTTCAGACCAGTGACTCCTCTCGGCCTTTGTGATAGCAGGCATTGCATCTGCCCTGGTAGCTTCACTGTAAGAACTGGATGGCTGCAAGGCAAAAATGAAGACCTTGCAATCAAGTGGGACGAACACTAAGGAAAAGCGGAGCTGTTTTATTGGCCTTATTCAGTTTCGGACTGGTTCATTTATTTACATACATCTATACATCAGTGGCTTATTAAGATTGTCATAAGATCCATCATGTCTATATCCGTATGTCTTACAAACATAAGTTAAAGATATAATGTGAAAAGAGAAAAAAAAATCAACATTTTTTTTAAAAAGGCAGTTGAGGTTTTTTGGCAGTGTAGAACGAAAGTAACGTCTCCCACCCACCTTTTCTCTAATGAATGTTTGTTTCTTTATCTTGCTGAGATATTCTTTGGAGGGGGGGGGGAAATGGCAGAGGGCAGAAAAAGGGAGCCTTTGGTGGTTTTAAACTTTGGCTGCTGGCCTTGGCTAGGATGATGCCCTGCTTAGAGAAGGTTTCTCAACTTAGGCAACTTTAACATGCATGGACCAACTCCCAGAATTCTCCAGCCACCCATGTTGACTGGGGAATTCTAGAAGCTGAAATCCCCATGTCCTAAGTTGGAGAAACCCTAGCAGAATAGTGGACTAGGACCAAGGAGAACTCATCCAAGTTCTAAGGCTCACTGGATGACCGATGGGTCTCAGTCACTCTTTCCTAAACTAATCTCCTTCACAGGATTGTCATAAAGGTAAACTTTGAGAATGGAACCATGTGATATATTTATCAGAGGAGGTAAAAATATCATGCAAAGGATCCAGATAGGAACTATAGATTTCTGTGGACTACATGCCATGATTAAGAGGTCTTCATGCACTGTCTACACAAATGCAAGAATCCAATTCATCCATCATACAAAGTGATTCTAAAAAAAGGGTTGTGTACACTCAGCTTTCCAGCTATTTTCAACAAGAGCTGGAGAAACTCTTTGCACGAGTACATAGATTTGCACTGCTGAAGTATCTAGCAAAGTATCTTTTTTTAAAGAACAAATAATTACCCACTGCATTATTCTCCATATAGGCTGTACAAGGAAGCGATATATGCAAAAGTGTTATGAAAGTAGGTCCAAACACATTGACGTAGCATTCCACTGTTTTGACCTATGAAGATTTTTATCAGATGTGGCCTTGTGCTTTTTTGGTCAGGACAATGATGAAAAAGTAGTGCTGATGGTACACAAAACTACAGAGCAGAAAAGGCTTGCAGAGGACGTTATGTGAGTTACTGAGCCATTCAAAGCACCTCTAATGAAAAAGCATTTAGTAAAAACATGCCCAGCAAATGGTTTTTCTGTGTCATGTTTCCCTGCCCCTCCACTTGGGTACTTACGCTATATTTCCTCAACATGAGGGATTTCACAAGAGCACATTCAGGTGTATTTCTGTTAAGCACAGTTTTTCCTTAGACTTAAAATAAGATCCCATAATGAAAAATGATGAGTTTTATACCCCTGAGAATGTAAATGTTTGGTATGAGCTAGAATTAGGGTGGGGATGATTTGAGCAGATGGAACAAATATTTCTTTTCAAAAATTGTTTGTACACTGATATTCTTTCTATCCAAATAACTCAAGATGTTTTTATAAGCCGAGGGAATATCCCAATTCAATTACCTTGGTCTGGTTTATATCTAGGGCTGTTAAATGATGTTTCATAGATATTTATAAAAATCCAGTTCTTTTTACCCAAAGAACTATACTTGTTGTCTTTCATATTCTTTAATAAAATGTTAATGCTCCTAATAAAACAAATTATTATTATTATTTACCACTATTCATTTGAAATTAATATAACAATTTGGATTTTAGAATTCAATTCTACTGTAGCCTCTTGGGCAAAGTGGTTTATGTAATTTGAATATTTTGTATTCTTTTATTTAGATAAAAATAGTTTTATAGGGCTAGAATCAGTTTAACTTATTTGAAGAATTTAACTTGTTTGAACAGAATAGGACAGAGTTGAAAGGGAACTTGGAGGTCTTCTAGTCCGACCTTCTGTTCAGGCAGGAAACCCTACACCATTTCAGACAAATGATTGTCCAATCTTTTCTTAAAAACCTCCAGTGTTGGAGCACCCACAACTTCTGAAGGCAAATATTCCACTCGTCAATTGTTCTGTCAGTAAATTTCTCCTTTATTTAGCCTGGATTTCAGCAAAGGGAGACTGCTTTTTATTCCTTTTTTTTTTTTTGTAATTTTGCAGGACAACATAATACAAGACATTTTACTGTCATTTGCTCAGAACATTCATGCTATGTGCTTAAGAACATAAAAGTTAGTGATCAGCTACTGAATGTGAAGCAGGAACTTGGAAATGATGTTCTACATATTATTTGAAGAAAGGAACTATTTTTCTTTCATTTCACTTCTCAGGCAAATAAATTTTGCAAGGTGAAATATTTCAGTTCTGAAAAGCTCAAAAGCCTGAATAAATACAATGGAAAGAGATGGAATGTCACAATATAAGCAATTAACTCTTTCTTAATTGCCATTTTTTTTTCACATGCAGGACAAGAGATACATTGCGACCTCTTTATACAAGGATGCGCTTAGGAGTATTTGTATTAACATAGGATTGAACAAAACAAAAGAAAGAAAACTGATGCCGCTTTGTGGCAAACAACTCTGCATTTTTGCTGTAGTCTCCATTTCAGTATACTTATTCTGGGCCTGAGATGGGCTTCCCATGACTGAAATAGAGGAAAGGAACAGGTGTCTACCAAAATCAACTGTTGGTTTGCTTTCCTTGTCCGAGACTTACATCTGTCTGCACCCATGCCACTGATTGCACCAGGAGAGGCAAGACTGCACAGCCACCTTTCTAGCCTCTCCATGTTCTATAGATTGTGTGGCCACAATTACAAGAGAAGCAATACTCTTTCTAAAATATTATTAGTGCTCTCTAGCAGCAAACTCCATATACTTCCTGGTTTATCAAGCCTGGCTGCTTAGCAATCAGCTTTTGGCCCAGATGTTGTTGATTGAAGAACGCAGCAAAGACCAACCATTTTCTGTGCTTTCTGTTTGGTAAGCCGACAAAGACTTTTTTAAGATGAAAGTTTGGGCAAATAATTAAGAAAAAGAAAGAAAAGCTAGATGTATTTTGGAAATTGATTGCTGAAAGAAAACAGCTCTTGTTTTGATATCGTACCTGGACAGGTCAGGAAGTTGGAATTCCTCTTGCTGTAGTTTATTTCTAAAACAGCAGTTCACCTATGTTTTGATGCATTTTAAGATCTGCCACTGGACTTTAATATTTATGAAATGTAATTTCATCAGTAATGAATAGTGAAACAGCAGTGATTACAAAGCTGTTTTCTAGTCCAGGATATATGACTAAAGAATTATAGGAAAACTTGCTGGTGATCATGAAATAATATGGCTGCCTTCCCAAAATGGTTTACCCCACTACCCTGGAAATTCATATGAAACCTTAAAAAGATTTTCTTCCTTTTCCTATACTGTTTTGGACTAGAACCTATATTTTATCACCTTGTGTAAATTTTTAGATTCTTTCAAAGACAAGCTGCCTTCTTCTTCACTGCAAATTGTATATGATAGGGCACAATCACTGCCTTTATAGACATGCTATATATCTTAGGGCAACTCATGTTTTCCATCTGAACTTCTTCTGTCTAGCATCAAAATATATTCTTCTGGAAAATACCCTAGGGGTATACTTGGTCTGATTATGTGTTTTAATCCTTGTATGTCACTCAGAGTCACTGTTGTGAGACGCGAGGCCATATAAATTATTTAAATATAAACAAACAAATCAGAGATGCACATTCCAAGAGAAATAGATGTATATGTGTGTTATTCATACGTATACAGAAATCGTATTTATAACTATTACAACTCTTAAAAGTTGTTAAGTTGTTTTTTTCTCTACAAGTCCATTTTTAATTTGAGCTACTAGAATCTGTTGTTTTAACTGAGTACATATGAGAATTATATTATTTTATCATACCAGATAATATCCTATTTGCCAATGTAAGGGGTGGATTGTTGGTCTTGGTGGCTTCTTGAATTGACACACATAAGACTCTTTCTTATAAAGGTCAGGCTAATATTTTTATTTTTTTTTAAAAAATAGAACATCCCATATTAGGAACATCATGTGTGTGGGCAGGCTATGCTGCTTTCCTACATGTATTCTGATTTGAAGGAATCCAGGGCTTTTGAAGTTGCCAGCCCTATACATGGGATATGAGAAATTCTATTTTCACTCATACCACAGTGAGAGATTAGCAGCTTGAAATCACTTTGACAGTTTGTTACTCTATTGCATACTGCAGGGAATTTTAATTCCAACCTGTGAAATTGTAATTGCTTCTCAAACAGGACAGAGGAATTCTGGGTAATGGCTCCATCTAAGCTCAATATCAGAATTGCCAGTTGCTGCCAGTTTAAATATTACTTGCTGTAATTCAAATATAACTTCAGCTTTCTATCTAGGAGTTTGGACTGGGACTGAAACAAACAGGAACTGTCAGATGTCCTGAAAGCTACAGCCGAAAGGTGACAGAGGTGGCTGAGCTCACAAGGTACACAACTCACAGGTTGTTATAAACAATACTCAGTCTGAATTAATGTTAAAGTATGACTTTAAATGCCTTCACTGTATGCATAAAATATAAATAAAAACAAATTAGGTAATTTTAAAGCACAATAATCAGATTTTATTATTTACATTTGAAGGGCAAATTAATTTGGCACTTTTATTCTTTTCTGCAGCTTTATTTTAAGGTCATGTAGGATATTTTTTATATTTTCTGTAATTTTAGATTATTCAGTATGGAATGTATTAGTACATAATCTCACAAAAACGAAGAATAGACTAAATAAACAGTTAGAATTACTAGCTCCTCATTACTGCCTTTTAGCGAACCCCTTCTCAAGTCTAGGCTAGGAATGATCTCACGCTCGTTGAATTTCCTAGAGAGAATAGTTTAAAATTTCCATCCTCCCCACTTGTCTGCTCTGACTTACTGCCAAATGTTCTGAAGGGCCCTGCGACCACAAAGTAATCTCAGCAGGTAAGTAAAAGCAGATGCTCTGGCTCCCGTCCTGAAAACACTCTATGGTTGCTGGCTTTCTCAAAGGGTCAATTCCCATAAAACTCCTGGGACCATAAAGTCTACTCAATATAGAACTCAGAACATTGGCCTTCCTTGCAAAAACGGGGCCTTTCCCTTACTTGGCGGTGGTTTACAACTTTAGAATATCTGAAGCAGGCTACAAAAGAGGGGAGAGGTCCTGAGATGTTTGTCAATATGGTGAGCTGCACTACGTTCTTTGAAAGAATGCTTTTTCAAGTGTGTTGGACCAGAAAAGATGACAACATTCCTCCTCCGTGGCTGTAGGAGGAAGAGAGGAATTCTCTTATGGTAAGGAAGCCCTCTACAGAAATAAATCCAGAATGTTTTATTGCCTGGAGTAGTAAATGAAATTGATTACATTTTTGCTTAAAGAGGCTTATATGAATCAACCAAGCATTGATCACGGAAGATGAAGAATGCTCGAAGTGAAAAGGAAAACATTAAAAGTTTTTAAATATTGAGTCATCTACTTTGTGTCTCTCTGTATTTAAGTACCTATCAGACAACAGTTTTGCTGTTGGTTTGGATCATGGGTGTTCCTATGATTATAAAGATTATTGTAAGTTTAGTGGCCTGACGATTTTGAACTGAATATTTTAATTACGGAACAAAGAGTGATTCAAGGTGCTTTAAAGATTGCTTTTAATAAGGCCTCAGGTGAGCACAATAAAAAGGAATTAGCTGTTATTTAAGAAATATAGCTATAACATAGGTGCTTACGAAATGAAGTTATTTTATGAAAAATTGAGATGTTGAAATCTTGATTTAAAAAAACAAACCACCAAAGAATTTCTACCAGTTCAGGAAAGCTTTATATAGATTCTGATTATCAAACATTAGATTCTGAAGTTCTCAACAGGCAAGCTGTTATCTATTGATGGAATAACCATTCGGCACAGTTTTCTATTTAAATGTCTCCATAGTAAAAGGCAATAAGAACTGCTAGAAGAGCCACACTTAGTGACAGCATCTTCAGCAGTTTTCCCTCGTGTTGCCAAGGCAACTGCATCACCATCCAGTGGCTCAATTGTACGATTTGCCGCTCAACAGATGGACAGGCTTTTGATTCTGAGTCATTTTCCAGTGCATGTCTGAACTCCTGTGGAGAAATGCAGAAATTAAATTGAGAATAACTGCAGAGAACATTTGGCATATATCAAGCACAAAGGATATTTTACATTAAGTCTGAATAAGCTAATCCTTCTTTCATCTTACTATAAGTGGAAAAACTTGACTAATCTCTTCAAAGACATCAACTGCTAAAACAATACAGCTATCATCAGCTAGAGGACTAAAATCCGACTGTTTTAAATCATGTCAATTCATTCGTTTTCAGCGTCGTTACAAGACCAAGTCAATGTTAAAGTGAATCAGCAGCACTGCTGTCACTTACACAGTACCGCACAACCGAGTCTGATCATTATTTCTGTCCCACAGTATGTCAGCTCAGCATGTCCCAATATTCTCTCTACATTTCTTTCCTCCTCTCTCTCAGGAGAAAGCTTCACTGAAACAGTCATTTTACTGATTGGATTGGAGAACAACAATGTGATGATCATGTGTATTTATTCACTATGTATGAATATGGAGCATATACATTGGGAAGCTGAGGCTAGGTGCAATTTCCTAGTACCCGAATTTTAAAAGTGTGCTATTGGATACCTGTGCATACTTTCAGAAGGAAAGTGATGTGCATGAGGTGCTCAAAATGCACCACTGCTTCATCTGATACAGACCTGAGCTGTGATAGTATTTTAGCAACAAATCCTTCTTAGTGAAATTTCAATCCCTCCTTTACTAGCTTGACCAGACTGTACAAGCGAGACCAGAGTTTTCTACAGTCTCAGTCTGGTTTATATTTCCTTTTTCTTTGTGGATCCATCCGATTTTCCTGATGCCCAAACATTTAGTCAGCTCTTTAATGCTTATGTTGTTTCTCAACCCTTCCTTGGATGGATTTTTTTTACTTAAACTGGCCCCTTCTCAGCCTTAGCTACTACATAATTTGGCTTTCTGTATCCCAGCTAAGCTACTTTATGTGATTTCTGCTGAGTGTACAATTCAATATCAGCCTCAGGTTCTGCAGATGTTCTCCATATCTCTTGAACAGCCTACAGCCCAGAGAGGGTAACTGTTCTTTCACCTACTACAAAGGTTATTTTGTTTCTCCAATTTAGAGTTTACTTGAATGAAATAATAGATCTCGTTTATAATTTCCAGCAAGAGGAATTGTTAGGGTACTGCATGCACAGTGGCATCATACCAGATCTGCATCCCACTATGTCCTTTTGAAAATAAGTCATGTACAAAGATACTATTAAGCAGAGACAATGGGCAATAGCAGTTCTGCTTCAAACAGGATACAAGAAGGTTGTCAAAGGAAAACGGACAGTGCAAAGGTATTTTTCTTTGATAGCAGCACCATTGGCAATAGATCTCACAGGACCAGTAGCAATTGCAGCTCACTTTTCTGCTACTGTCTCTCACCTGTCATGGGCCACATTCAAATTCAGAATGTGGATTGTCAGCATCAGGAATCTTCAAGCCTTGATTCACCTGAAGAGACTGATCAACCACAAGAATTTGCCGATCAACTGGAGCAATCGGATGAGGAAGCACAACCCGCAAGCTCCAGGTCTCAGTGCATGCAGTAGCTAGCAGAGCAACGCTACTCAATATGGCTCCCCACTAGACAAAGGGCAAGGCCTAAGTAATTGCAGCCATCTGTCTGCAGAAAAAAATGTTACGTAACTCTTTCGCCTTCAGCCTTTGTTGAAAACAACTGTTCAAAATTCCAGCTCATGACTCTAACTCCTGTTTTTCCATGCTCTTGAATCATTGACTATTGGACCAGCTGAATACCCAACTTGGCTGAATGAATTTGGAGTATTCTATTTCTATTTCAAATGGACTTATTCAGGCAGGCACTCTTTGCACAGACTTTGATTTACAATCTTATCTACTGTTATCTGTTGGTTTAAATAAATACTTCAATTTCTTGGTAGCTGTGTCTGCATGCATGAGTCTGCAATCCGAGACAGAACACCACCCACTATGGCAGGTAAACAATGGAGCAGTTGTGCAGCAATAACAGAAGACAAAGTGCAATACCTCACCTAGACTCTGGCCCTAATGGAATGGTGCATGCCTTGCTGAACAGGCTATGGCTAGTGGTGCAATCCCCTTTATATGGGGATACCGTTGAAAAGTGTCTGGAATTACAACTGGGGCAAGATGTGATAGACAGGACGTTCATTGGCACAAGGTATATGGATCACAAAATGCTGAACTGACAGATCTGCTATGCAAACCATTTACTTATATGGCACAATTTACAGTAAGTTACTGGCATTGGCCATTACAAAGTAAAAAACTGACAAATTGCCTGTCCTTCTATGAGCCTGCCCTTTACTGAGATTAGCCAGAAAAGCTTTCTAAAGATGCCTCTTGTATGAGAAACCTAGCTGTCTGATGTGTGTGTGTGTGTGGGGGGGGGGGGCTTCTCTTGCATGGCTCCCAGCTATGGCATACCTGCTCCAATGAGGTGCAATGGTCTCTCCCTCCCCTCCTCAGAATTTAGGAAAACAGCAAAAGCCATCTCTTTTGTCAAGATTTTAAACTGGCAGTTATTCTAACGAAACTGAGTCTGTACTGATTTTGTTTTGCTTTTTTTCATTGTTGTAAGATGAATTAAATGTTTCTAAAGAGAAAGATCGGGTACATTCAGTAATAATAATAATAAAAAAAAACCTAGAGTGAAATCACAGAAGAGCTCTGGCCACCTGGTTATAATGGCCCCTTGGCCTTACAGCTGAAGGGTAGTTATGCCCCAGGCCCTTTCCTTAATAATCTGTAACAACTAATCTAACCCAGCAAGCAATCTCCATATCCATTTCTATCTAGCTTGGAACAGTATTAATAGAAAACTAAAAGATCATCTATGAACGTGCCTGCACCAAGAAAAAAACACAACAACAAGCAAAATGACTGAACTCACAAGGAAGGACTGCTAAAAAGTGTTTGGCCAAAGAATGGCAAGCTTGATGAGGAAGGATATAAACCGAATTTCCAGACAAGAACCTCGAAGAAAGAATCCCAGACAAAGGAATGGAGAAGGAAGTGAAAATGTTCCTGTAATGGGGCCTATTAAATCAGTACAAAAATGAGGAAGGACATAGGTTCATGGCCTCTGCTATCTATACAATGATTGACTATAGGAAATAAACAAGATGAATTTGAATTCTTAGTATAGGAAGGCAAATATGATTTAATAGGTATAGCAGAAACCTGGGACTCCTACAACTGGAATACAGAAACTGAAGGATTTAAACAGGAACAACAGAAAACAAGGAGCTTGAGTGAAGCTTCACTTCTAATAGCTATATGGACATATCCACAACAAAGAAGTGATTGGTCAGTGTCCTCTTCTTCCTCCTTTATTAACTCTGGTTTTTTAAAAACTTTATTCCCTGCTTTTTAAATTAAGACCCTCAGGTAGGAAGCTTGGAAAAATGTCTGTGTGAGAACCTGAGGAGCTGCTATCATTCAGAATAAAACACTGTGGGATGGATCTTAGTCATTCAGTCATAAGCTATGAGTCTTTTAATTTTTGCGCCTAGGACTTTGAGTTCAATAACTGAGTGGGAATTTGATTCTGGATTTTTGGCATCCACAATTTTGATACCCTTAATTTTTCCTGAATGGTGATAATCTGAATAAAGAATTGTAGTTTTGCCATCACTCACGCAGATACAGTCTGCCTGGTTGGACTTCAGAAAAAAAAGTCCATTATATTAGATCATTAGCTGAGCTGTTACAGTATTTGCAGAGGATCTCCTAGACATCTGGCTCAAGTACCTGCTCCCCCAAATCCTGATTTTCCTTAAAATAAATTTGCAGCAACCACAGTCAATTTTAGGTTGAGGCCAAATAAGCACTGGCCTAGGATGCCAAAGCTTATGGGATGCCAACACTGTCCCTCTTTCCAAAGCATTATAAAAATGCAAATCTTTGAATGATGGTGCCATCATTTAATGTGGCTTTGTGGTGCCATATCTCTTGAAACTGATACTGGCTGTAATGGTCAAGTTTCAACTATATGTTTTCTAAGATGGCATCAGACATGCTGGATGCAGCCCCATCAACTCTTTGTATTAATGTCTTATATCTTCCTGTATCAAGAGAACCACTCAACCCCCCCATCTTTAGAACTCTGCTTAGTATAGGATTTGGCAAGAAAAATAGTAATTAAAGTCAGTGATGAAAGTTTGGTAGGAAAGTGAGGACAGCAGAAACATCCTTTTTAAATCTTTATGGTAACCATGAGCGATGATGCAAAGATTAACTATAGTGTCAGGAACTCAGAGAACCTATGGAATATTACTTTAAAAAGTGGGGAGAAAAAGAAACCTAACACAGTACATAGTCCAAAGAAACAATCAGTTTCATATCTACATCTACCAGTCAGAAGAAAGTATTAGAGTTCATCATATAATGTTACTTAAATAGATGGTTATTTCTGTGTCATGACGGTGAGAGTAATTAAAATAAATTGCCTAATGAATCTTGAAAAATTAATAACTGGTTACAAGTATTCCATTCCCAGAGTCAAAGCTAATTAACCTTTATATGAAGAAATAAACTGGAAACTACAGAGTGTCAGTTATTAAACATTTTACTAATTTGCAACAAAAGCTATTTCATAATAGATTTCATTTGGTAGACTGATTAAATCTGGAAGAAAAGCTTGCACATAACAGTATTCACTTGTGACATCAGTTATTTCCTTGGATGTCTATTTAAAAAAAAAATTCTTTTATCAATTTACAATATACTCTAGATTAAGTGAATGCATTTGGGTCCCTAAACTAACATTTCATAATTTCACGAGAACAAGGGTTCCATTTAGACTGCAATGATATACACATTAACAAGGAAAAATTCAGTAGTACTTATTTTTAATATATATGTACCTTAGTTTGAAAAGACATGTATAGAATTTCAACAGTAGTCTTTCATTTAATATGATCATAAATCCACTCTCATTCTTTTGACTATGAATTTTATCGTTATGTCAAAACATCACTGATTGATTAGAAA